TTTTTTTGTAACCTTTGCCAGATCTGTGCCTTGCCACAATTGTGTCTCTGAGCTCTTCAGGCAGTTCCTTTGACCTCATGATTCTCATTTGCTCTGACATGCACTGTGAGCTGTAGGGTCTTATATAGACAGGTGTGTGGCTTTCCTAATCACGTCCAATCAGTATAATCAAACACAGCTGAACTCAAATGAAGGTGTAGAACCATCTCAGGGATGATCAGAAGAAATGGACGGCACCTAAGTTAAATATATGAGTGTCACAGCAAAGGGTCTGAATACTTATGACCATGTGATATTTCAGTTTTTCTTTTTTAATAAATCTGCAAAAATGTCAAAGTCTGTGAGGTTCTTGACAGGAAGTGTTTGAATAAATGACCAATGTGGATGATTTTCTGGTGATGACAGTCTCGGTAAATACACAGTGAAATGCAGGCGGGTGGCAAATTACAGAAAAAACCTGAATAAATGAGTGGAGAAAACAAATTCCTTGTGTGTAACATACTTGGCCAATAAAGGTGATTATCCTTATCCTATAATGAATGCAGATGCTGATATGGAGTTGCGTAGTCTCCTGTCTGTCAGATTATTTTTTATTTTGTTCACTAACTGAAGCATGGTGTTACCCGAAACCCTGTCAAAGTCACTCACGCTCTCCTGTGGCATGCAATACCATTTACAAACACCCTCTTCTTCCTCACGTGTTCTTAATGGTGATGAGATCTCATATGACTGACAGCAGGGCTGCAAATTTTACACCCGGTTTCTCCTGACGTTACATTTCAACCACAGTTCTCTGCAGCTGTGGTATGTCAGGTGCTGAGAGTATTTGTATAAAGTTCCATTCTCTCCTCCCTGATGTTTGCGTCCCTTAACAGGAGCAACTTAAAATACATTTTGCATGAGACCAGTGCTGCTTTTTTGCTTTTCCTTAATTCGTCAACTGTCAGTATTTTCTTTAAATGCTGTTGAAACAATGGTTTTTGAACCTAGATACTGATTTGATTTGTCCTTATTTATGCACAATCCAAAACACCAATAAAAATGTAAGCTTTGCAAGCTTTTGTAGAGTGGACACAGAGGCTGTAACACCCAGTAACTTACAATAATAAAACAGAACTTAAATTTTCTATGTAAGCATTTTATCAGATGACTTGATAAACCAAATCTGGAACAAACAACAAAATGAACCACACCCTGTGGCTAACATCTCTTGTTGAAAGACATCCAGTTGTACCCTACAGCAGGAAAGGTTTATTTATTGATCCTCTGATGTAATATACTGATTGCTGTGGCTGAGCTTCATTTGGAGCAGTCCAGGCCGCTCTCTGTCAGAAGTCATGGGATTTTAAAGCCTTGCAGAATTTACTGAGACAAACGTGTTGTGGCTAAGTTAAACAGACAAGCCCTTTTTATATTTATCCCCAACATACAGTATGAGGTATAATGTAGCTTCAGTCTGTAAATACAGTTGTGAAACTTTATCTCCTTTTGTTCAGTTAAAATCCAGGTAACTTTCTTTGACCATACATCATTGTCAAGTGACACTGTACATTCGCCAGCCACCCCAGGAGTTTCTCTTCACTGATAAATTGCATTATTCCCCCTCCCTGCTGTCGCTCATATGGTGTTCAGAGCCAAAGTCTGATAAACAGACGTGACTTTGAGGTGTGCCGTACTGGATGTTACTGGTTGCAAAAACAATAGAATAGAAAGACTTTGTCAGTGTTGCACTGCATACAATGAAACTGGGAGCACTGCTCCTCTCTGGTGCTTATAATACAAATAAATAAATGCACAATCATTAAACATTAAGATAAAAAAGATCAATATATTGGTAAGATAGTTTGCCTCTATAGAGCCCCTATGACCCTGGGAATATTTCCACCACTATGGTGCTGTTGCTTTTTAATTTTATCTACAAACTATATGTGTGTCATGACTTTTTCACACCACTGTATGTGTGTCATACAGTTTAATGATGAGTTTGAACTCATTAAGACATCTACATTACACAGGTATTGACCCATTTCAAGCTAATTGAACTGAAGAGAGGGAACGTAATAGTGGAATGTTGGAAGCTGTACACTGCCGCACCAGCAGGAGAGTCACCAGGAGGTGGTTGGATTAAGAAGCAGGTGTAGAAAATGCAGGACGGTCACAACAGATACAGGGGTTTTTCAACGACTTGTCCTGCCTTTGCTTAGATTTAGGCAGCAAAGGCACTTTAGTTGGAGGAAGATCTTGGTTTTGTTTCATTACATTGTGTCTCAAGTGAGTGTTAACTATTTCTGTGTTAAACAAGGCCACAATCTTTCTCTAACCTTGTAAAACTGTGTGCTTAAACATAACCACACAAAAGTTTAATAATTGTGTAGTCGCTACAGAAGGAAATAAAATCAGCAAATGCTCACACTGGAGGCGCTGTTACTAGGGGATTTTTTCCCCTTGAAAAATGATTTCACATTAAATCCAATATCCGAAGAGTTGGAGATTGATGTTCTCAGTATAGACTGATTAGCTGACTAATTGTTTCAGCTGTAGTGTATAGCTACTGTAAGTCAAATCATGTGGAATGAATTGCGTTACTGAAGGTGCTATTTGAGGCTGATTGGCCCAGAGCAGTGAGACGTCATTCAGTGAAGGTAGATCTGCTGGTGCCTTGTCTTTTCCTGTAGCTGCTGCAGCTCTTTACTCCACAGAGAAAATCTGTACCAACTCAAATGTATGACATGTGGCAGGACGAGTTATTTAATGGGCTGAAAAACAGGCAGAATGGCCTTTTGTGTATAGTAGAAGCTCGCGCTCTCTGATTCTCTCTCCCGGGGGATGAAGAGCATTTTGCAGACATGTTTTTCCACTCTTCTCCATGCACTGTCTTGTCACCTCTGTTTTCATCTTTCCTTCTTTTACTCTTCCTCCGGTCCTCACATTTCCCTTTCAGCCCAATCTTTCTCTTGTTTTTTTTTTTGTTCTCCCTTACTTTGCTCCTCTTCCTCTCTCTCACATTCTGTGCATCCCAAAGTCCAACTCCAAGTTCATGTCGGTCATTAAAACCCCGCTGAGAGAGATTCACCTCCACGAAGACCTCATCTCTCTCTGTCTCCCCCTCTGAATCCAGCTTCAGTTTGATCATTATTAGTCCTGAGAGACAAATTATTGCCCTCGTGTCTCTTTGACTCCCTCTTTATCTATTTTTCCACTTCTTTTTTTTTTTATTTTGTTTTCCTTTCACTGCCCCCTCCCCCTTTTTTTTCCTTGACCCATGTCTACTTTCTCCTAAATTCTTAATTTAACTTTATATTGAGCACTTTCTCCTCCCCCTTGTTCCTCTCCACAGGGGAAAGATATTTTTATTATTGGGGACTGACGCTACATTTATGTATGCTATCTTAATGTAAGTTGCAGATACACTGGTACCAAATATCTGTGGTTAAAAACAAGCAGCCCAGTCATCTGGTGAGCCGCCTGGGATGTAAATTCCTATGCAATTAGCTGTAAAGGCTACCCCAGACAGCTATATTTTGTATTTGCTTTCCCAAATAAGTGTGAGAAATGATTTGATGGAAATCATGTTTATTCTGAGCTCTCAGAGGTTAACATGATCGCCCCTGGTGACACAGATTAACACGAGTTCTTGTTTCTGAATCTTAGCACTAGCTATCACCATACCCACTTTTAGGGGAAATACATCATGAAAAAAACAAAAATAATAAGTTATCCTTTATTATCACTCTGAGATAAATTTATGCTGGAATGACGGACACGGCTGCTAACATCAAAAATGATATGTAAAGAAATAATTACTGAATGAACATGGGTTCATGGTAAAACTTTCAGACTCCCTTTTACACAAACATCTGAGGTGGAGGGGAGAAAACTGGGTACAGACACATGTTTGTACAGAAGGTCTAATGCCAGCAATAGATTATTACACATTTAAATTTCTCATTTTGCTGCCTTGTCCTCTTTTCCCCCACTCTCTCTGTGGGTGTGTGTCTTTCTCAGTTTTTTCTTTCATTCAGTCAGGGTTTCTCGCTGTAATGAGATTACACAGGATTATAAAACGCTGTCTATCTGTAATCCACACTACTCAATCCTGTTTCACTGCTTTCACACACACACACACACACACACACACACACACGCACACACACACACAGGCCATCTCTCTGGTACTATCTGGCAATCTCTTCTGTAGTGTTTTCTCTTTTAATCCTTGTCTTCTTTTGTAATATTATTAGCACGTCTCATTTAGTTTTCCCACTTTTTATGCTTCTTTTTCTTTCTTCCTTCTTTCTGCCCTTCAGTTCGGTCACCCCCATCAGGTCTGGTGAAGTCACCCTACTTCCTTTCTTGTTTTATTCCCTCTCTTCAATAATTTCGGTTTTCCCCAACTTTCCCTCACCCCTCAGCTGCAACTTGGACCATTTATTCGCTGATCAGCGGTCACTGTGTGATCTGATCAGTGTCTCGCCACCAGAGCTCGCATGTGAGCCACGACTGGACACACAGACAAACGGGGACGCGCGAGCGCGCACGGTGGAGAGTAGGGGTTGTGAGGCTCAACCAAAAAAAAGAAAAAAAAACTTCCCGTTAGCGAATCAAGCAGCTCGTGAGAAAGTTTATGGAACAGAAAAATGAGAGATCTGACCGATACCCTTCAAACACACGCGGACACACACACACACACACACACACACACACACACACACACACCAGTCGGGCGTAATAAAGTCCTCCCCCACTTTCCTCGCCAATCACACTGTTTGTCCTGCCAGGAGTCATCTCTGATTGGTTCAAATGGACGTCACTTATGTGTGAGGGAGGCGGGTTCAGGACGAGGACTGACCTGGAGTCTGATACAGTCGCTTTTACGCACAGATTGGACAGTCCGTTTTCTGCGCACGGATAACAAGACAAGAGAGCTTGTTCAGGACAGAAACAAGCGCGACAGAGGGAAAATCAGGAACAGAGGAGAAGAGGAAAAAGTGACCGGAAAACAAGGAAAAAGACGCACAAGTGTTTTCCCAACTGGAGAAAGACAGAAGAAAGTGTGTGAGAGTGTGTGAAAAGGAGAGAGTGTGTGCGTCTTCACCACTCTCCACTTCTTCCATCAACACCATCTCTATGTCGCTACCCGGCTCTCCTCCGCTCCTCTCGCCGGGCTCGGGCGCCCCGACACCCACCGCGCTCTATCGCTCGGTCCCGGACGCGCTCCACACTTCCGTCGCTTCCACCGGCACCTCCAGCCCAGTGCACACCAACTCCAACTCCCACTCCCACTCTCACTCCTTGTCTCAGTCTCCGCGGCTCACCAGTAGCATGCTCAGCGCTTTCCTGCCCGGACCAGGGAGCGCGCTGGCTGGCTTGGGCAACGGTGGCACCGCCCCGCTTGTGTCCGGAGGCGGTGCTGCGCTGGGTCCTCTCAGCGGGCTCGGATCTCTCAGCACGGCTGGCCTGACACCCGGATCCCCTGGTTTGGCGCAGACTTCATCCAGCCCGGGTCTGTGCAGCGAGTGCAAACTGGTGGAGGTGCATGGCGTGAAGGTGGCCAGCTTCAGCGTGGACGGCCAGGAGCTGATCTGCCTCCCGCAGGTGTTCGACCTCTTCCTGAAGCACCTGGTGGGTGGTTTGCACACCGTCTACACCAAGTTGAAGAGGCTGGACATCACGCCGGTGGTGTGCACCGTGGAGCAGGTGCGCGTCCTGCGGGGGCTCGGCGCCATCCAGCCAGGCGTGAACCGCTGCAAGTTGATCTCCAGGAAGGACTTCGAGACGCTGTACCAGGACTGCACCAGCGCCAGGTCGGTGAATACTTAAATCACTTGTACTACTTTTAAGCTTCCACCTGAAAGCTCTAGATAGAGCTGAGAAGGTGAACCTGCAACTTTCCGTAGTGACAAGCGGCTACATGTTGTCCAAATAGGTTTCATGGTTGTTACCTATGCTTCACGGTCCTATTTTTGAGCGCCCCCCTGTACGTGTATCTAACTTTGTTGTACTTCAAACATTGTTCCTTGCAAAGGAACGTTAAGTGGATTTCGGGCATCCACTACAACTTTTCACTATGTTTTACAATCCTCGTTGTATTTGTAAAAACAATGTGACTGTGTTAGGTTACATTTTCTTTAATATAACTACAGGCGCTTAAAGAATGACTTATGGTGAAGTTTATATAAAATATATCTAAGTCTCAGTTTGACTGAACAGATTTGTAATATTTCTCCTGGGACTCACTTCATCTGCACAAGTAATAGAAATTTGTTTAGTTACTCTCTACTTGTATTACTGAGATATAGCTGTAATATTACTTTAGAAAATGACAGATTTAAAGAGATATTTGTATGATATCTATGAAGACTTGTTACAGGCTGAGTGACTATTTTTGATGAATGGTTATATGCTTGAAAGTGACTTCCTGTTCCCTTATCAGCACTTTTCCTTAGTTCACTTGAGTGTCAGAGTTGATGCTTTTACTCTATTGACTTTGGAGCTTGATGGAAGCATTTGTGTGTGTGTGTGTGTGTGTGTGTGTGTGTGTGTGTGTGTGTGTGTGTGTGTGTGTGTGTGTATTTATGTTGCTAAATGGGCAGATGTGTGTTTCAGTAGACTTGTGTTTTGGTAAAATGAAAACACACAGACAGCAACTGACCGTAAAGCCAAAAAGATAACCTGAAGCTGAAGTTATGGAAAAGCTTCTCATAATCATGATTTATTACTTTATGCTTCACCAGGTGTGTGTGTGTGTGTGTGTGTGTGTGTGTGTGTGTGTCTATGTTAAGTGTTGGTATGTGAGAGAAAGCTTTCTATGTGTGTGGGTTAAAGAGGGTGTTTGTGCATTTGAACAGAACTGAATACGTGTGTTGTTAATGTGTGTTTGTGTAAACGGACACCCTTCAGAGTGCGTTTTAATACCCGTTAAGCATAACAGTTGTGTCTGCATACCTACTGTACCTGTACTTGTCAACTGCTTGTTCACACATTTTCTGTTTAGATGACTGTGTGACCTTTTGGATTAAAACTCTAAACGTCGACATCCTGCGCATCAGATTCGGATCTTCACACGCTGTGAATTCTAAAAGCACAAACTAAAGCCAAGTGCATCACATATACACTTTAAAATGTCATTTTTAAACAAACCTACATGGTGAATTGAAGTAACATCTCACCTGAAGTGGAAATCTCTGCTGTTAAGATGAAGTTTTGTATAGCAACATTTTTTGTGCACTGGAAATGAAAGTTTAATGGTCTGATTCAGGTTTATGAATATTTTAGCACCAAAATGTAAAAGGAGATTAGTGCTGTTCGTTTTCATTTTCAAAAACAGCTTTGAAAAAAAGATCCCTTCACTGTGTACTGAAATGTATCTAATTTTATTTGATTAATGCTACAAATTGTTTCTTTGCTTCACAGCTGTGAAATGGCCGAACTGCAAAGAGCAAGTAGTATATTTTCACCACCGAATGCTGAATAGTTCAGTAACAGTGCAGTGTTATTTGTTTGTTTGTTTTTTGGTAACAGAAGGATTCTTCTTTCTCTTTTTGGGAAAAAGCATCACAAAATGTGTATAATAAAAGTACAAAGGCCTCATTTGTGTAAAAGCCTGATATTGTCAGATTTGTGTTGGTTTAAATGCACAAAATTCTGATACCTTTCACATTGAATCCCAGCAATAAAGTGGATTTCATTGACCTTCAGTGACCTTTTCCTGATAACATCATCCTTTTAGTGCGACTAATAGCAGGAATATCATCGTCTCTGATGTTCATTATGAATAAATATCCTGAAGTCTCATTTGAAATAAGAAAAAGATGGTCCATATGACACCAGGATCTGTCTGAGAATCATCGAAGTTTCAAACTGTTTGTGGTGAGCTGTACTCTGAAAACCTACAGCTCTACTCGAGTACATTTGGTAGTTGGATGCAAGTCGCTGTTTGTATTCTGGAAAAACAACAACAAACTAGAAGGTTATGGTGCATGCAGTGTTCTGAACTGTGTCTGGAAACTCCTTGAAAAGTGATGGAATTTCATCAGGGCAGCAGTGGGAGCACTGGGTGTCGCCTCCAGTGTTGTTGAAAGGGATAGATGAATAAATAGTTTTAGGCAGAGGTTCTTCAGTGCCAGCTAATTATTAACATGGTATTGTGTTGCTGTGGAGTCACTGGATTGTTGACGAGGGACCTCTGTTTTTAGCTGACCACACACACAGAGTGGGTCTCTAGTTTATTAAGTGTGAAATGCTCACTCCTCTCCCTGTTTGTGAAGAGCGGGATCCTTCCTTGCCCTCTTTTTGTCTTAGTTTGCCTCATTTTGTCTTTTACTCTTTTTGACTCTTAATCCCTCCCTTCCTCCCTCTTCTCCCATATCTTTTTTGCTTAAACACACACAAGTGGTGTATTTCTGTCTTCTTCTTTACCCCCGTCCTTCACCTTGCTTCTCTGTCCCTTCTTCTCTGTCTCTCTCTCTCTCTCCCCCTCTCTCTCCCTCTCTCTCTCTCTATCTCACACACACACACACACACACACACAGCGGTGCATGTCAGGGATAATAATGGATCATGTGAATGTGCATGGAACAACACGGCTGGAGAGCTATTGTTGTTGAACGCTCAGCGAACACACACTCCACTCTCTCCAATCATATTGACATTCCTCTAATGCCTCCCTCTCTCACTCTCGCCCGCTCTAATGCTCTCTTGCTCTTTCTCTCCACATCATTCTCTGGGAGAAGAAAGGAAAAATTAAATGCTAAAAAAAAAATCTGAAAACTCCCACTGGGCTCCTGCATACTTTGCCTTTGTGGGGATCCTGTGTGTATTTGTATTACTGTGTGTAAAGGCAATGAATGACCATTTATATCATCTTGTACCTTTGGCGGCGATATCTGGCGTTACTACATGTCTGCTTGCTTGTGCTGTGATTTTTAAATTTAAAGTGCTCTTGATGTTGTTTTTCCATAGTGATTCAGGATCTGCTCTTTTATTGAAATATATATGCTGTACCAAATGAAAGTTCCCTCGCCTCTTGTTAAAGATGGAAAATAAAGTTAGTTATTTTGAAGGAGATGACATCAGCTTTGTGAGTTGCAGACTTTAAAAATAACCTTCAGCATAGAAGTTTGGATCCTTTGCATGAGATATAAAAGTTTGTTTGGAGGGAATCTGTGTTTGTCAAGCTACAAACACAACTTTCTTAATTCATGTATTTCATTACTTATGTACTTATGTCACAGTTCTTTCTGATTTTCCTACTCTATCTGTGGCTCTTGGCCACAACCCCATTAGTTTCTACTGACATGGCTCACAGGTATACATTTACTGGGAACTACTTTCAGCAGTGGATTAATCCACATTTGGTGCTCTTGTGAGTATTTAAAGCAGCTGGACTGTGATAAATGGTACTGAGGCAAAACTAATGGTAATGGTGGTAATGGAGACTCTTTTCATCAAATGCAAACCATTTTATTCACCCAGAGAATTTTTGTCATTCACTGTGGTTGGAATGTACATAAGACCTATCACCCTGTCCCCAGCGCAGCCCTCGGAATCTCTGATCACTGCATGGTCCACCTTATTCCAACCTACAGGCAGAAACCTAAAGCTGTGAAGCCTGTGGTCAAAACAGTGAAGAGATGGATCGAGCAGGCAGAGTCAGAGCTACAGGCCTGCTCTGACTGTACAGATTGGAGTCTATTTGAGGCTGCGTCTACAGACCTGGATGAACTCACTGACACTGTGACATCATCTATCAGCTTTTGTGAGGACGTGTGTGTGTGCCCACCAAGACCTTCTGCACATAGAACAACAACAAGCCCTGGTGGCCAGTAAAACCCAAGCAGCTTTACTGTGTCAAAGAGGAGGCCTATAGAAGTGGGAACAGGATCCTGTACAGGCAGGTCAGGAACACAATGAGAAGGGAGATCAGAGCAGCTACTCTGAAAAGCTGAAAAAAAAAAAAGGTTTTAGTCAGCGACCCTTCGCCTGCATGGAGAAACCTGAAAAACATCACGGGCTACAGGAAACCACCCCCTTCTCTGTGGAAGACCATCAGCTGGCAGATGACCTGAAAAGGATGTGCATGGTCTTTTTAAGAAACAAATGATCAGGAAGGCACCAGGCCCAGACAGTATGACTCCCTCCTGCCTAAAAGCCTGTGCTGGACATGTGGTCTCACCACTGCTGTTCTCCTTCTGCACCTCTGGGGACTCCACTGTTCGCTGATGACACAACGGACATCACTCTCATCCGAGATGAATCGTCCTGCAGACGGGAGGTTGAACTCTGTGGTACGGTTGCAAGAACCTGGAGCTGAACATGCTCAAAACAGTGGAGATGACAGCGAAACCCCTACCCCACTACACCCCCTCACCATTCTCATTAGCACTGTATCAGCAGTGGAGTCCTTCAAGTTCCTGGGCTCCATCATCTTCCAGGACCTGAAGTGGTCATCCAGCATCAGCACCACCACCAAGAAGGCACAGCAGAGGATGTACTTCCTGTGCCAGCTTAGGAAGTTTAACCTGCACCAAAAGCTGCTGATACAGTTCTACAGAGGAATCATTGAGCCCGTTCTCTGCTCATCCATCACTGTCTGGTTTGACTCAGCAGCCAAATGGAACAGGAACAGACTCCAGCGGACAGTCGGGTCTGCGGGAAAGATCATCGGTGCCAAACCTGCCCTCCATGGAGGACCTGTACACCTCACAGGTCAAAAGGAGGGCGGAGAAGATTTCTGCAGACCCCTCACACCCTGGACACAATCTGTTTGAACGCCTCCCCTCTGGACTTTTGTATATATCTTTCT